AAAATCCACAAAGTGTTGAAAGAGAACAAAAAGCGATCCTGGGGGCCTTCAGAAAGCAAAAGCTTAATTCAATAGTTACCATATGCTTTGGTTGTTCCCTCCTCCCCTTTTTTTGAAGCTATACCTCAGAAGTCCTCCCTTAGGCAATGGTCTGCTACCTGGAATTCAGAGCTGTTAGCTATCACTTCTTACTTAGGGCTTGGCTAACAAATGCCACTATATTTATTGTTATTTCAGTCCAAAATGATACAAACCCTGGGGAATATAGCTCTAGTTAGGAGATGTGCAGGTGTCCAGACACTGTCAGACATAAACCATCTTTGCTTAGACAGTTGGCAAAAAGGACTTAAGTGTATTCCCATGCTTGGTTAAGCCATAATGAAGTACAATGTTCCAGATCAGCTAACATAATGTGCAAAACACAGAGAAAAAACCTTTCGATATTTTGATTGTCCTATAAAACACATAATTTGGCAGATATATTTGATATAAGCATAAAAATGGTAACTAACTTTTGATTGAGATCTAATACAAAGAAAATGAGCCATCACAGCGATCAGTCTGGTATAAAAACAGGTCAGTGGTTAAAAGCTCAGTGATTTTCTCTGTGAGAACTTGTCCCTAATACCTTCAGCAGTGGGACCATGACAATCAGTTTTACCTTGCAATGAAATCAACCTAGTGGTGCTCACAGCCTTGATCAGGAAAAAAGGAATGAACTACGTAGAAGTGGTTGTTTCTTCTGTGAAAATGGCTATTTCCCAAAGCCAAATATGGGATCACCATCAACACTTCAGTCAACAGTTCCCAAACACCAAGGTGCTTTAAAAATGCACATCTAATGCATTTCACACCAGTAAATTCTCCTATGAAGAGAAGGGTTATCACAGCCTGGTGGTGCCTAAGATGGTCCAAGCTCCACTGAAGGTGGAGGTAAGAATGCTTTCTGTCTTCCTTAGTTGGCTGCCTATTTTCTTCATATATTTAGGAAGTCACAGATTTCAAGATGATTACCTCTGGAATATTTGCTTCAAACTCACTGTGGAAACAAAGTTATTTCAGGACAGGAGAGAATATGGGGAGGCAGGACAGGCAATCAATGACTGCAGAAACCCTGCTCCTTGCTAACAAAAAAAATGATATCTCAGCATCACAAAAAAATGCAAAAACCGACAACCAAGCCTCAAACCATTGGCTATGACAAACTGCTGCCAGTTTTACAAAGCACAGATGCAGGACTGATGTTTTCCTGTTTAGTCTACCCTAATAAAAGCCTTTTTTACATAACCTCTACTCCCTATATTAACGTGAGCACTACTGTGAATAGAAAAATTATTAGCTTGAAATTAAAAAGAAACATACAGATATTAAAGACTAGACTCCACTCTTTCTTCTTTTGTAGATCTACCACAAAGGAACTTAATCTGATCAGTGTTGAATTAAACAGACACTGTTTTGCAGGAAAATGTGTCATATCTAGTGATAAGAGCACTGTAGATAAGCTGCAGAGAAAGGAACTCAGCTCTACTACCACAGTACTACAGTAGCTTAATTTACACAGCACAAAAGTGCAATCTGGTACTACATGTGTTAGGAAAGACTAAGTACTGGCAGGACTACAAAGATCTTACAATGCCTTTCAGTAGCCCAATTTATAAGATTAATTTTTTTAGAAAAATTACAAACCCCCCATGCTAAATCCATGACAAGACTAAGGTTTCTCATCAGTAGTTTTACAGTTACAGTATAATGTAGCTAACAAAAGGTCCACAAATGAAATCTTCAGCATAAATCTATGTGCAAAATTCTATTTTATCCAAAGCTTATTATCTGGAGCACTGTTGTGTGACACCAGATTAAAGACAAAGACCGGGAACAAGCAGAACAAAGAATGTCACATGTTAAGTCAAAAGTTTAGGCAACTATCTCCACATATGGGAAATCATCAGCCAAGCAAAAACCCCCACACAACAAAGGCACACACAAACACCACCCATCTGAAAACACTAGTAAGGATAATGCTGATTTTCACATGGAAAAGATACAATAAGCAAGATCGATCATGGATCTGCTAGCACAACAACTGAAGGTAATACCTCACAGGTTCCACTGCTAAACATGCCAGATCTTGCAAGTTTTATTGCAACCTACAGAGATTGCAAATTTAGCTACCAGTCTTTAGGTTATCAATACTGAAACTGGAAGAAAAAGTGGTCTTGACAATGCTAAATTAACAACAGGCAGAACACTAGTTAGCTGCAAAAATTGCACAGAAAAAAAACCCAGAGTGCCAGTATTGAATCTAGGCCTGCAGTGGTTGCAGGCAGCACTGCATCATGTTGTGAGAAACTCATACTCCAATCCATTGTAGTTAAGGGTCATAGTATTGTTCCTGCTGGGGAAAAATGAAATCCAAACCAAGCTTAGTGTAGGATATTCTTTTCCACGTGCACTTTTCGAAAATGCAGGTTGCTCAAGCCCACCTAAATTCTTGCATACAATTACCTTCCCTCTGATACTCAGAGATGGGATATATTGAATATTTCATCCAGGCTGAACACAAGTCACCACTCAGAACAACCACCACTGCAGCACTGCACTTGTTTAGCAGCATTCCTAGCTTGGGGTCTGATTTGAAACATAGTCTTTTATTAAATTTGCATTTATCCCTGTTTCCCTTAAAGTACCACTTCTGCACGACATCTTTGGGACAACCTCACCACATGACCAGAAAAACTCAGACTCTGAGCAACCTGATCTAGTTGGGGATGTCCCTGCCCACTACAGGAGAGGCAGGAACTAGGTTACTTTTAAGGTCCCTTCCAACCCAAACAATTCTATGACTCACAAGCTTCCTCACTTAGAAAAATATATGCAGATAAGAGTGACTACAGATAGTCCTCAGGTTTTATTGCTCACAAACAAATGACCTGCATTCCTTATGCAATATGAGCCTTAGGCATAATCCTTTCTTGTTTTTACAAATTAAGCAGGACAAAATACACGTTTCTGAAAGACAGTTCACAAATATTAGTTGAATGCAGACTAGCAGGAGACTCTGCTCATAGCTTATAGCTAAAGAAAACACAGGCATGAAGTATTCAGGAATACGATGAGCATTTCACCTTATCTTACCCTTGATTTCAAGAGCAAAAGTGCTCTTGTAAGCACACCCAAGAAACAAAAATCACAAGAAGTGTTTGCTATTATTCACACAGTTTGATTTCCAGGAAAGCAAGGCAAGATGTTTGAAGAAGTGGTAGGTGAAAAAAAACCCCACAACCTATGTTCCACAAAACCTATCTAGGAAAAAGAATTTGCTGCAATCCACTGCACCTGAGACAACCAAGTAACTCTCCAGACTTTCTCTTTCTCTTTTTGGGTTTGTTTTTTTTTTTTTTAAATAAGGTTTACAGGAAAAAAATTCCTCTCTACAAGACGCAATTTGGCATTATCTGAAGATACTACAGAGAAATAATTTTAAAGCACACCTTCAGCTGGGCCTTGCCCATGCCATTATATTTTGCTGCAAATCTGAAAGAGTAGTGAGGCAATGCTGAAACAATCTGTCCTACTCTATGCTGACTGAAAGCCAAGGTCAGTACTATTCAGTATAATACAATTATTCATGACAACATTGTAGCTGAGTGAAATTGTTAGTCAGGGAAAAGCCCACAGTATCTGACCAATAACCAGAGATAACAAACAACAGCCAGGAATTTCCCCCAGCTCACAGAAAACACAGTACTAGCAATTGTCACTATAAGTTTTTGAATTCAACTACTTGCAAAGCTATAGAAAAATATATATATAACTTTTTTAAATCTTCTTTTTCATCTCTGTCTGGGAAAAAAAAAAGTAATTGATCAGCAAGCAGCTCATAATCTTGAGATCTCTGTAGGTAGCTCAGCAGCAAAAGAGTAACGGCTCCCATTTGAAGCAGTGTTATTGCACACACTCCCTGTATTTTAGACATCGTTTAACTTGAAGTTATTATTACCTGTCCAATCTTCCTAAATTCTAATGGATAAAGAGCAACCCCACAGTAAAACTCGAGAATAAAGCTGCACTTTCCAAGCCTATAATTCAATTTACAGCCAATTTTTCAAAAGCGCAAGGGTGGTTAAAGTGCTTCATCTCACACGCAATTCAAAACACAGGCACTAGCTATGGAAAAAGAAATTAGAACAAAACACCATCAATTCTCTGTAAGTCACTTTAAGAACAGCGGTAAAAACATTAAAAAAAGCTTCTCTGCAATAAGCATTCTATGTCATTGTAGCTGTATAATATAACTTTTTTCCATATCCTAACTTGGCCACCTACTCAGAGGTATAGAGGTGAGAATACAAGACATTAATTTTTCAGCCTTTTTATGCTTGTATTGGTATTATATGAACCCAAGAAATCTTAATTTTCAGTTCACAATGCATCTTTCTCAGGAAAAACAGTTAACTTTTAATTCTGAAGAAGTACAAACATAAAATTTGCCATGTCATTATTGTTCTTCACTGCTTTTAGTCATAATGCATTTGGAACATTTCAAACAGCTAAAATGAAGAATGGTAGGAATTACAGCAACTGCATTTTAGAATATACTCACCCTGGATTATAAAGCATAACTGCTGACAGGTTCTCACAAGATTTTGAAAGATCTGTCATAGACAAGCTGAAGGAAGACAGCAGTCCACTCTAACAACAAACCGTAACATAAATGCATTAGACAAGCAATGATGTGCTTACAAACTCTTACTTTGCTGCACTTGATGAAATATTAACTAAAGTATGTGAAGCAAATAAAAAAAAGTATTCTACAACAATCAAGGTATGTCTGTATTAGAAAGCAAATTGCAAAAAGGTTTAGACTCACCAAAGACTGATTTAATCTTACCTTTCTTTTCTCCCTTAGCTTAGCAGCTTCTTTGGGGTGGTTAAAGCGAAACATGTTGGTTCTTCCAAGTAGTATAACAGCACCTGATGAGAAAAACACACACCACTCATTTGCAACATTCTATACCTGAGAGTACCATGTAATTTTGCAGACACTTAACATGTAAGCAAAGACTTCCATTAAGCAAGAACAAAATGAAAATGCATTTTGACAATGCAAGTGTATAACCATGCACAGTCACAGCTACCTTAACTGATGTATACAGTGTATTCCTTCCTCTTCCTACTTAGAGAAAAATAAAAGCCCACACATGTTCACACACTGCATGAATAGGATTGACATGAAGGTCAATCATGTTCATGGAGTTCACTTAAAGAATAAATATAGGTAGAGGAAGCAGCTGCCCCAACTTGATCTATTCATTCTTCAACAGTGCTGCTTTGGAAGCCACCAGTAGGTACCAGATCCAATGGGAACATCTATAAACGTGACCAAGAACAAACTTGTTCACCCACTACTGATTACTGTCAGGTTTGAATCCAACTACACTAAAAGCTCCAGATCTCCATTATTTGTACTCTCACACTTTTCTTCTCCATGCAGAACACTGATGTTTACTGTCAGTCCAAACATGATTAGACTTTTATACCCAACAGCTATTTTCTGAGGGAAGAGCCTTGAATAATTCATGTTGCTCAATGCACATCTGTTTCTGTATTTAATCAGTTAAGGTACAGGTCACAAATAATGAGATTCTGAGCAATTATTACCATATTTTAAAGACTATGGAATCAAGATTAATACTTCCCTACTAAGAAGTATATTGTCAGTGATGCCTCACTACTGTCACAACATGGAAGTCTTCCCAGTTCACCACCACAGAATCAAGCATTTATCTGTCAGTCAGTACGAGGCATTTTTAAAAAGAAAAAGGACTCCATTACACACATAGTAGAAAAAAACTGCACTTAAAACTGTTCACTGCAAACAAATTCTTACCATCTAAGAATGAAATGCTGTCCTTAGCAAGGAATGTTTAATTAGGAATCAACTCACAACAGTCACTTCTTGCCATCTATACAACACTTCAATTTTGGACCACATGTACAGTTTACCTCAGTCTAATCTTAAAAAGAAGTAATTACCTTTCATAAATCTGTATGAAATTCCTTCAGGTACTTTCAAATGAAGATAAAAATAATTAATTTTAAACATTTGTGACCACTTCACTAGGTGGAAGCAACTTATATAAATTAATTAAAATTTCAGAATGCACAGATACGTGTTCCTAACTTAACAAATTTAAAAAAACAAAACAAACAGGAGAGAGAGACTTAACAGCGAGCACAAGACAATTAATCCCCGATGATGGATCATAAGAGCAATTCCTAGGTCTCTCTTTTAAGTACAGAAGGGTTGACAGTTTGTCCTAAAAACCTGAAAATTTGTTTTATGGTGAGGAGATATTTGAGATAAAGGACAAACTCTAATTGTGACTATTAATTCAGTTACCTTTAGAAATCCTACCATATGTTCTTAAAAGTAAAAGGATATTGTAGTCAAGTTACAGTTACACAAAAAAGTCACATTAGCCAGAATTCACACATGCTGGAAGCAATCTGTAGAAGGAAGTGGCAATTAATTACTATGCCTCTGTTTTTCCTTTTTAAACTCCATGATAGTCTAAAAATTTAACACATTTTCAAATGAACAGTTATTAATGATGAACGGAAACATTTAAATATATCAGCAGTTAGTTAATCAGCGTTACCTAAAAGTGGATATTTAAGGAGGCTGGCACTTCATGCTGTGAGACTAAATGCTAACACCGCTAGGATATATGGATTGTGCACAAAGTCATTAAACTAGTGATTTCATCAGTTTTGAACACCTCATGTCACAGCTGCCACCTTCCTCTCCAACTCAGTCTGGTCACACACACTACAGGTCAGCTTACGCAGCTGATTTTCAGAATTTAGTAACCCTAGAGCAACCTTTTCCTCTTCTTTTGAGTTCCAGATTTCTGTCTAAAGAAATTTGTGAGGAAAAAGAGTCATGTTCCCACTTTTCACAGTACAAAAATCAAGTTGTGACATGCATCTGAAAGAGAGAAATAGCACCTAAACACCTACTTTCTCTGAGGCATATGAAACCTTTTCTGCCTTTGAAATGCAGTAGGATCAAGTAAAGATGAATCATTGCAACTCAATTCTTATTGTTTACAGTGTTATTTGCCATTAATGCCAATGTTTCTATTGTTAACAATTTATCCATGGCATGTACTCAAACCTAAGACCAAGGGGGTTGGGCTTCCCCCCTTGGTATCTGTAATAGAAACAAGCATATGCTTCTCACATTTTGTATGAAGAAATAGGCACTTAAAAAAAAAAAATCAGCATCCCCTCTCTACATCAAAACTCCTTACTTTCGGCAAGCAGCCTTTTGAAGCATTTGTTAGAGTTCAGAAAAGATGTAAGACTCCCCTTGTTCCACACTGCATTCTTCCTTTGTTAGGCTAAACTTGCTCTGAAAGCTTCTTTCCAGGAACGTAAAGTGAGATTGTTTTTCAGCAGCTGAGCTGTGTCACAGCCTCACTCCTAAACAGGTCTTCAGCTCACTGCTAAATGGGAAGATATTCTGGCTGCTCCTGTAAGATAAAACATCCTGAACCTCTGCTGCAGCACTCACCAAGCCTACTTGTCAGTCAGTCCTTTCCAGGCCAACACAATATACCTTTGTTCCCAGCTGTCCTGGCTGCTTTTTCATTTCCAGATTTTAAAACCTTCATATTAAAATTATAATTCTTTAAACCTCCTCCCTCTAAATGGGAAGATATTCTGGCTGCTCCTGTAAGATAAAACATCCTGAACCTCTGCTGCAGCACTCACCAAGCCTACTTGTCAGTCAGTCCTTTCCAGGCCAACACAATATACCTTTGTTCCCAGCTGTCCTGGCTGCTTTTTCATTTCCAGATTTTAAAACCTTCATATTAAAATTATAATTCTTTAAACCTCCTCCCTGAGGGTTACCCCTTTTTG